AAAAAAAAAACGCATTTTTTTTCTATGTTCTTCGATTTCGCCCTTAACCCCCCAACCAAAAATTTGATTTTTTTCTTTTCTTTTTGCCTGATGGGGTGGGGCTGGGGTTGCGCCGCCACGTTGCGCTTCCCGATTCCTCAACCCCCCTCCCCAGCGGCAGGACGCACGTCCGCGCGGACGCATCCGCGGGGTCGCGTACTCGGCCACGCCTGTTCGCCGCCGAGGGGGATTCATAGCATGTGGGCCCCCTACTCCTAAGCCTGTACAACTGCATCTTGGAAGGAGGCTCCCTCACCGAAGACATGAAGTGCGGCATCATCACGTTTATCTATAAGAAAGGAGACAAGTGCAACATTCGTAATTGGCGCCCGATATCAAGACTGAATGTGTCCTATAAGCTTCTGGCCAAACTCTTGGCCAGAAGGCTAGGCCCCTATCTACCATCACTAGTCCACACCGATCAAGGGGCCTTTGTACAAGTGCTAGTTGCAATGTTGCGGAGAATATCATGACAGCGATGGGGGCTCTGGAAGTCATTCAGACTGAGAACAGACAAGTGCTAGTTGCAATGTTGGACTTGGAAAAGGCGTATGACCGAGTTAATTGGTCATTCGTTCTAGCCACGCTTGAACACATGAACTTCGGCCTGAGCTTCCGTATTTGGGTGAGAGAGTTGTACACAGATTCTAAAGCCACAGTCATGGTCAATGACTTTGTGTCGCCGATCTTCTCACTTACCCGCTCACTTCGCCAAGGGTGCCCATTAGCTCCACTGCTCTTCGTCATACAGATGGATGTGCTCTTGAATGCTTTGAGGATGGCGCCACATATCCAAGGACTTGACCTAGGACGAGGAGACCGACTTCTTACAGGTGCAATTGTCGACGACCTGCTCCTCGTGATGGAAGCTACGCCGGATAGTATGCGGGAGGCAAAGGACCTATTGGACTCCTATGCCTCACTCTCCGAAGCAAGAGTCAACTGGAACAAGTCACTGTACTTCCTACCAGCCGACTATAACCTTCAGGGAGAGGACTGGGGAATGAAGAGGATACCGGTCAACCTCTCAGAACGTTACCTGGGGGTCCAGGTGTCGCTCTCAGAGGCCCGTACAAGCCAAGACTCGATCTTGAGGGCCAAAACCCAGTCAACAGTTTTGCGATGCCGAATGGCAGTGGGGACCTTACTGCTGGGGAGAGCTATGCTCATCACCTCAGTAGTTTTTGCCCACCTCATCACGGCCGACACAGCAAGATATCTCTGGAAACCAGGGGAGTCGGAGGGCGGAGGATTCATTAGCAAGTGTGCGTGGACGAAGGTTACCTTAGTAACCTTACCAAAGGAAGATGGAGGATTAGGTTTGATTGACCCAGCAGACCAGAACTTAGCACTTTTGGGGAAGTGATTATTGAAGGCGGCAACGCAGGTGGAGAGAAGAGCCTGGTTAGTAGTGCTTGATATATCCTACAGCGAGAATTCTCACTCTCCAGGCCAGAAGACCTCTGGCACTGTGTCTTCATGTCTTCCTTCTCCCATAGGCAACCTCGGTCACCTCTGGGAGCCGCCTGCTGGACAGCATGGAGGACACTGCAACCACATGTAACCAAGGAGCCGTCTACCAGGGAGGAAGTCTTGCGCCAGCCTCTGTTCAACAACCCGGCAATTTTGAACCAACAGGGACAGCAGCTGGGAGCAACATCATCAGCGGGCGAGTTTGGCAGGAAATGGGTGGAACGAGGCGTCACGCTTATCTCAGACATCTGGAGGGAAGATCTGAAGGCCTGGACTCCGGCTGAAGGCCTACGGGGCAGACTCAGACACCTCCCACAAGTTAGTGATAGACTCCAACTGATTCAGGAAGCTATCCCACCTCACTGGTACACACTGCTCCTATCAACAGACCCGGTGGAAGGAGAGTGGTACCTGGACCAGCAGGACCCCGGAAGAGAGACTGTGCTTCAAATCATAGACACTCTAGAGGACAACCTATGGTTACCTCGGGAGTGGAAGAAAGGAGCCCGAGGCAGCGAAGGCGAACGACTACAGCTCCGAGGGGAGATAGCAATCACCAAGTCTGCCACGTTGACTTTGGTCAGAGTTCACACTCAAGTGCGAAACCACCTCCTCATTCATGAACTACTTATGCAGGGACAACCTGTACTTCAGATGAGGCTCGACCCTGTCAGTTGACAGTGGAATCAGACAGGCACAAGGCCCAACCTGCAGCTCTTCCAATACTCAACACGAGTAGGCAGACAACACCTACGGGGCAATCACCCTGGGCTGGCACCACATGCAGCACAGGTCCTCAACTCCATCATCCCAGCTCAATCACAAATCCAGGACAGACATATGACAGCACTGTGGAGAGATTCCTCTACTCTGCTCAGTCAATCCCCTGGTCACCAGGGAAATCAATGCTGGCAGGTATCTCCCTTGGCTCTTTTGATTGTTTCCAGACATGGCTCAAAACTCATTTGTATAAGGGA